AGAGCACAGATAGCCCATTGTGTAGCTTTGTGCTTAATTACAAACAAACAATCATACAGAGTGATTTAAATGTATTGAAACTTCTGTCGAATTATAAAAGAAGTAAAAGGTAATATCACCAAATTTAATTTTAAAGTCATATTAACACAGAGTTTGGAACAATCTCATTTTCGTTTTTTACACACTTGTTTTTAAACTTGTTTATTTTGTGTGTTTAATATAACATGAGATCTGTAACCTAAAAAGAAGCTTAACTAATGATCTTTATATATATGTGTGTGTGTTAAGATTACTTTCAAAGTTTGAATAAATTAATAGTAATAATAAAATAGTGTCAAGAAGCTTTTATAATATTACGCACGTTATTAATTCTCGATATTGAGAATCGTCAAAAATGAAACTGATTGCTACCGCCATCTGGTAGAAAATGTAGACATTATTAACTCACTTTTTTGTTCTTTTTTTTTTTTCCAACACGATTAATTAATGCATTTTAGCATTCAGAGCAGATTATCGAGACAGGAAATTTATCTCCATATTATATGTTTGAACATACATCAAGCGCCAATTTGAAAATGGACATCTTAATGACAAACGTCTGTTAAGAATATTAAACTATTCGCTGGTTAAATTAGAACTCCTTTTATTTCGCATAGCACGTTTCTTCTGTTACTAGTGAATCGTAATTTTCCCGGAACCATAGGGATGAGTGGACACAGGCAATTATGAACGGCTGTGTTTCATAATCTAAATGAAACACCAACTCACATATTTAAGTCGTTTATAAAATAAGTCTTAAATGTATTGAGATGATATGAGTTCACATATAGTAGAGAAAATGCATTGGTTAATTTCTGGCGGATCTGAGATTCGAAACCTGTTTTTGTAGTTATTTTCCAAAATTAAAAATCTCCCCCATCACCACCACTTTTCAATTGTCCCCCGTTAGGATAGCGGTAGTTACGGACTTACAACACTAAAATCCGGGGTTCGATTCCCCGTGGTGGACACAGCAGACAACCTAATGTGGCTTTGCTTTGAAACAAACAAATTAACTAAGCAACTAACCTTTCAACAGAGATCCGATACATTTTTTCCTAGAAACTAATCGCTCAAAAAATGTATATGCATTAGTTAAAGACACACACACACACACTGTCTGTTATAGGTCTATGTAACTACTTCGCAGGGTGTGAATGGATCTTCACCAAAATTGGTACGGAGGTTCATTGGTTCCATGAGGAGATACATACAAATTTTCAGTTTTGCATTTTGCAGTTTTTATGGGCGTTTTTTACCACTACTTCGCCCCCCTCCCCCACCCGTTGATAGATCTTCACCAAATTTTTCACGTTGTGTGTTTTGTAGTTTTTTTTTACAATTACATATAAAGGAAGTAACTTTTCATGTCCTAAAATAACCTTTCATTAATCACGAATTTACATAACTTCCGTCCAGGGGACGAGTACCCCAGCTAGTTATATAATATGTTTCACAACATAAAAGTGTTTTATGATGACAGTTCTTGTTGCTAAGCAAGTGAAGTAGATTTCATTATTTATTATAACCATTCTCAACAAAGTTCTGTTTCAATCATATATTAAAAACGACTCGATTGTATACTTATCTCATTTCTCGAATGAAACGTTTAATCAAAGTCTTTGACAAGGAAAATTTGCACCAGGAAAATACTCGTGCCTAAGATGATATAGTTCTTGTTAGCAGTAAAGAAAAAAATGTAGCAGAAAACATTTGACGAATGGAGGAGTTGAAGTTGGCAAAGTTGCACCAAATTCTTTGCAGTTGGAGTTGACGTTGATGGAAGAAAAATTGCATTAATCTTTGGAAGTAGAATATGCCTGTTGTAATAACACTTTACGTGAACATAGGAAAATATCCACTGGTCCTTTTCAGTAGAATACACGAACCAAAGAAGATGCGACTAGTTACTACTAGGATATATTTCAATGATTTAATTTTCACCAACGTGGTGCGCAGGTCTGACGAGAGGGGGGGGGGAGCAGCTGCCCCGGGGTCTTTTGAGGGGCTCGGCAGTGGGATATTCCAAAGTTCACTAGAAATGCATACTACTTAATGAGCTAAAATGGTTATTACATGTTCATGGATTCATGAAGAAATTTGTCACCTAAATGTCTTTTATGAAAAGTCAGAAAAAGTTAATAAATAGAATGAAATGGAGGCCCGATGATATTAATGACCCCGGGGCCTGGGCTGGCTATTGATGACCCTGGTGGTGCGATACCCTCAACATTAAGCCTTTCTGAAAAAAAAGAAGCATATTATTCTAATGTGTGTGTGTTTCACTCAATATCCGTCTATAAGGAAATTAATTTTGGGGAGCATTTTGCTTTAAACGATATTAAGTTTTCAAGGGGACTTCCATTAAGGTATATCAAAATAAAATGCACATTTTATTCCATAACATTAGCAAAACACTACAAAAAAATAAATATGGTTCAAGCTTTAAGTAATAAGAATAAATTAGCTACAACATATGGGAAATCGTTATCAGAAGAAACTCAAACATTCAATACAATCTCTTCCTCCATCAGCCAACAGTGGCTTCTACTGCTATACGTTCACACCTTATGCATGACAGACTTAAACCGCGTGTTATACCTAGTAGGACAGTTAGCACGTGCGTACCACGTGGCAGATGGCGAATTTTGCCCATGATTCCCCACTGGGACATCATCACTTACCATCTGCCAGCTGCCATCGAGGGAAAGATGGGCAAATAGCTGAAGCGAAGAACGGTGTTTCGTGTAACACGAACATCTCGACGTAATCGAGTGCTCACACTTAGATTGAGTTGAATCAGTTTGAGCTTCCTATTGTTGGTAAAAGCGTCATTAATAAAACCCAGTAGTCTAAGTAGTAGGCTTATGGACGCCTAAAGATCAACCGAAGTTAGATAGCTTGTTATAAGTATAATCAGAAGGAAATATATGAAATTAAATCATACACCAGCTAGGAGATGTTAAATTGAGTGATAGTTACAGAGTTAAATAAATCGAAAATACAATAGTCAAAATGTATTGTAGACTTAGCCTAATTAAATGTCTTCCAAAGTAATAATATGTTGATTACTAGTTTACACAGCTGTCGTCTCTTGGGAGAGAAAAAAATGTTGCTTGAAACATAAAACACATTATTAACTTTAAGATACTTTTAATTGTTGTGTGTGTGTCAAACACCTCTACATGCAGTTCACATTGACTTCCTGGTGATGAAAAAAAAACAACAACAACTACGATTACGTGTTTAAAATTAGTTAAC